TAGGCAAACCTTAAAGATACAAGTCTTGAAATTAATTCAACCTTCATAGATGTCGGTACCATATTCTTCTCATTCTGTAGCCCATCCCTTGTACCATTTTTTTTAACTGTAAGTAGTCCGCATTGTAAGTATTTTATCAGCTGTCTGAAGCTGTAACTTTTGCATATTACTTCTTCCTTTTCTAATAAAGTTGTTGTTTGCAGTATCTCAGTTTAATACTTTGAAACTTCCATTTTCACAGTGAAGAATATGAGGAGTGTGCTAGAGAGGCTTACCCATGGCGAAGGCATACACAAGAAAAGTTTGAAGATGACTCCTTCAGTCGAAGCAATTTAAGTATAAGAAGGAATCATGCAATATTTGGAAATTCTTTTTGCTCAAATCACTCGGCGGATCAGCAGTATAACTCCATGTGCAATGGTAGAGATATCCGAGACATAACAAATAAGGTGATTCAATAACTGACACTCATATCACAGCTTTTTGTTCTAGAATATTTTAATCTAGCTTTAAAATCTTTTGCTCTGTGCTATTTTTCATGAGACGGTGATCAATGTCCTTTTTTATAGCATTTTCCTAACAATTTATCTTTTCAATTGTCAAATTTACTCTCGATTTTTGGTTGTTTTTCTCTCAATGAAATTTGTCTCATCTTTTTCAAACAGTTCTTTAAAGGTTTACCAAAGTTTGTGAAGATAGTTGAAGTTGGTCCGAGGGATGGGCTACAGAACGAGAAGAATATGGTACCAACATCTGTAAAGGTTGAATTAATTTCAAGACTTGTATCTTCAGGGTTGCCTGTAGTTGAGGCTACAAGTTTTGTATCGCCTAAATGGGTTCCTCAGGTAATCCTTTTATTTGGTTGATGAATTGTGTTTAGCAATTTCTTCTTTTCAGCATTGTTAGATGCAGGTTGGGGCATATATTGCACACTGGTTAGCCTAAAATTTCATGATATATTTTCGAGATTTGCAGTAATCAAGTAGAAGATAAATATCAGTCTTTATGCTATAATGATCTTATATGCACATTATATATAAGTTGTTATTTCACTTCTTACAGTTTCTATATTTCTCTCCTTTCCCTTTCAAATTCATCCTTTTCTGTCAACCTTATGTTTTTCTCTTGTTGGTATTGCCCTTGGCCTCGACCAGTTGATTTCTTTTCAAATCATTTCTTATTTTCTAGTTGGAAGTGGTTGTGGGAAACTATCAACTTCTTGTGGCATGAACATCATAAAAATCAATCAACAAGTTGAACTTCTATCTAAAATCTAAAATGGAAAGTCATAAACGGATGAGAAAGCGTTACCAGAACAAATTAAGGCGACCATGCTCTTTAAGAAATTAGGCTTTACTGGGTGAAGAATACTTGCTATGTTATGATCCTGGACCGAAGAACGTTTTGGGGGACCTCTCGTTGAGAAGCCTTGGAGCAATTTAGCCATTTGGTTCGCCAATTTCGAGGCTTGATGGCGTATGTGAGCCTCATTAAAGATAACCTTTGAGCTTTAAAGGCTAGGTCTTCTTTAGAGATAAAATTTAGCCCACGCCTTTATTGATAATCTTGATGATATTTTTGGGGAAGCTTTTATCTATACTTTTATCTAAAAAAAAGATATTTTTTGGGGTAGCTGCTCAAGTATTGGATGACTATCAAACAACCAGGATTCATATATCCTGTTATTCGATCCAAATTCCTAATTCAACTCCTAAAGAAAGATAAAAACAAGGAGATAAAATCAGGAAATTAACCTAAGTGGGGCCGTTCTTTTTTAGAAAAAAAATTCTGACTTGGGAAAGTTGGAACTCGAGCTGAAAGTTCCTGCTCTTTTCCTTGCATTGCAACGGATACCCCATTACATAAATTTTGGTGGAAGCCCTAGATTGGTGTGCTTCTTGAACATGCAATGACCAAAAGTACTCCCAGGAAGACCTCCTTTTTTTAGAAATATAAGTAATTCCTATGCAGCATTCTATATTGAAAAGGTTTTGCCTCAATTAGTGGCTTATATTATATGCTACAATGACTGATATTTATACAAGGATTCCAAACATTTTATAAAAAAATTCTGAAATCCTTTAACTCTTGTCATGTGCGGTCTTGCCTCTTGTAAATATTCTGGGATTCACTGCCAGATTATAGATCGAAAATGTTCATGAAATTTGGCTGAGTTTTGGTTTTAAATTCTACTTGAATTATCTCCGGAAGTCCTTCTTGAAAGCATTTTGAAGGCGTTCCCTACTATTGATACATGTTATCATTTTGATAGTTATGTCTGCTTCTCAAACAGTCTTGTCTTTCCTGCTGGACTGGCCGTTAACTGAAGTACCTTTAGTCCCTTCCTATTTTCAATAAATCATGGATTATAGTTACCCTTTTGCAACACTAGAGGTGAGGATGAAAAATGAAAAGGGGATTCTTAGTGGTTTCTTTGGTTTGAAGTTGGCCTATACTCAATTTAAGGGCAGAAAACACGGAAGCAATGAGACAGCTGACAACTTTCTTTATTGTTTACTGGCTGTTATTTTTTTACATCATGGCAGTGAGTTATGCTCTGGTTGGCTATTGATACAGATCTTTAGCTAGTTGGAACAGGACAAGTGGTCAAGTGAAGAGCATAGGAGTGAACAGTTGGAAGGGTTTTATATTTTTGTCCAAAAGATGCACTTGTAAAGGCTGAAACAGCATTTGCATAAACTGAGATCTTATTTAGAAGTTCATCAGGAACTAAGTTGTTTCTGAGAAAGGCTAGGACAAGGACTGACATATTGCTAAATGCAAGGGGATCAATAAACTGGAGTTTGACTGGTGTGACTGCCCTAACTTTCATGAGAAAAGGAACTTATGATGCACATTTCTTTTCTACTGGTTGACTGGAGCTTCACTAGCTTCCAAGAATTACGTATAGGATGGATATCGTGATTGATTCATGTTATTGATTTGCCAGTAAGAAACTGAAGGCTCAGGACCATAGCATGACTCTTGAGATACTCATATACTTAGTTAAGGAACTTAACTGCTTGTTCCTGAAGGGAATAGCTTTTGATCATCAAATTACTAAATTTATTCACGTATGAAAATTTTACTTTTAGTGCGGAACTTTGCAACTCAATCCAAAAAAACTATTATGTAAAAATAGTTTTTTGACACTGCAACTCAATCACTAAATTTATCTGTATATGGTTATAGATGTTTTTGATTTAAGTTATTATTGTTGTTTCCAGTGGGTGATTAACTTTAGTTTTGTTTGCATTACTTTTTGTGTAGTTAGCAGATGCAAGAGATGTGATGGAAGGAGTTCGTAATCTAGAGGGTGCTAGACTGCCTGTTCTTACACCTAATATGAAAGTGGGTACTTTTCTCTGTGAAGGGATGATTTAATTACTGGATGTTGATACAAGGGGAAATGCATAAAGAATCTTACCAGTGGCATATGCGATATGTAGGGCTTTGAAGCAGCTGTTGCTGCAGGTGCTAAGGAAGTAGCTGTCTTTGCATCAGCTTCTGAATCCTTCTCAAAGTCAAACATCAATTGTAGCATTGAGGAGAGTCTTGCTCGCTATCGTGCAGTTACTTCTGCTGCAAAAGAGCTTTCAATCCCTGTTCGTGGGTATGCACTTCATCCTCAGTTTTTTTCCTTCTTTCACATGGTACCTCTATAGTTGGTGTTACATTTAGTGTAGGTGACTGCAAATTGGAAAATGCTATTGGTTGATGTTGGTAAGAGTTATAACCACCCAACCCTCATGTCAGGGAAATAAGGCTTCTGCATGTTGGAGAGTTTAACATGTTATGTTCTTACGCCACTGTCAAATAAGGCTTCTGCATGTTGGAGAGTTTAAAATGTTATGTTCTTACGCCACTGTCTATCATAGGTTTGGTTGACATGCTTTCTGCTTCAGTTAGATAGTTCTGGTTTCCTTCCATATATATACATAACTTCACTTTTGGAAGGGAATAAGCTACCTATTCAACTTTCATCTTATATGTTTTTGAAGAGGCTAAGTTGGATTTTGAGAGGTTATACTGTGTTTTTGGTTGGTTGTCAATTGCTTACAAGGATCCCAATGCAATCTACTTTTTGGGTAAATTAAAAAAGGTGTTTTTCAATTAAATATTACTAGCTTTTTTAGTTTTTCATTTCTAGAAGATGCTTTGATAATTAACAGAGTCTGTTTCTGCCCATTTTGTTACTTGCTTCATTGTTGATCTTCAGATATACATGCTTAAAAGCTTAATTTGATTGGGTTGTTATCCAATACTTGCATTTGTTTATTTGTTGGTCTATGACTTGGTTATTTGAAATAATTTAGATATCTTGGTGCAGCTATAGTTCTAAGTTCGTGTTATGCTTTATAATTTTGGTTGGATGTTGAATAAAAGAAATGCTGCTGGACTTTTACAGTTATGTATCTTGCGTTGTCGGATGTCCAGTAGAAGGAGCAATTCCTCCTTCTAAAGTTGCATATGTGGCAAAAGAGCTTTATGAAATGGGTTGCTTTGAGATATCTCTCGGTGATACAATTGGAGTGGGTACACCCGGTAATGCTCTAAACTGCATGTTACCTTCTGAAAGCACAAATATTTGAAGAAGATAAAGAACACATGCACATAGAGATTTTGTGTATTTGATCTCTACGTTTGTGTTTTATGTTTGTGAGGGTTACAAATATTGCTCTTATACTTTTGAGATTGCTTCAATTCAGATCATTTTCATCCTGTCCTTTATGTCATTTTGCAAATACGACTTTTTGTTAAAAACATTGATCAAAAGATAATTTCACATCTCAACTGCAACAAATAGAAATAAGAAATAAAAAATCATTTGACAAAGGAAAGAAATTTTTTAACCAACATTTTGGATCAGATGAGAATATCATTACCTTGTTCTAGTGAGGCATAATATTAGTAGATAATTGCATATTTGTAAATAGACTAGCTGATGCGTGTCAGTGCTTGCTTGGACAACAGAGTGAGAATTCATTTGATAATTTTCCTGGACAGATGTATACATGGATTATAGAATTTCTTGTTTCTTACTGTCGTCACAACTAATTTCCATTTCTCTCTGCAACATTCTTTGGCACAGGTACCATTGTTCCCATGCTTGAAGCTGTAATGGCTCTTGTACCTGTTGATAAGCTAGCTGTTCACTTCCATGACACTTACGGACAATCTCTTCCAAATATATTGGTTTCCCTCCTCGTAAGCATATGATAACATAAACCTTCATTTTTTAATGTCATAAATTTCTCTATGCGCTTAAAATATCCTGATATAGGGTCTGGCTCGACAAATTCGATCCCCTGATGTACTATGCAAGAGCATTTAGCTTTTTATAAGATCTATGTTATGATTTAATAGTCCGTAAGCAAAAGATATTACTATTTTCTTTTCGATATGCAACAATTAGAGGCTGTAGTTTGAAGTATCAATGTGGCAGTTATATAATGTTAAAGAGTAAGAATTTCTCCCTGTGCTTACAAGTTTGTGCAGACCTGCCAATTATACACAGCATAATAGACAAAGCCTGTAATGAGCAATAGTCTACTTAGGCAGCCTTAAGTGAACCATAAGTGCCAGCACATTTTGAGTTTTGCAACAGCCAGTCTTTAACAAATGTGATATATTTGAGCTGTCACTGAATTTATTGCCCAATTTACCTATATGATAATGATTTCCACATCTTTCTAACAGATGGGGATCAGCACAGTGGATTCTTCCGTAGCAGGTTTAGGTGGGTGTCCATATGCCAAGGGAGCTACCGGAAACGTTGCTACAGAAGATGTTGTTTATATGCTCAACGGCCTCGGTGCAACGACCAATGTAGACCTTACAAAGCTCTTGTTGGCTGGGGATTTCATCAGCAAGCATTTGGGTCGTCAATCTGGTTCTAAGACGGCAGTTGCATTGAGCCGAACTACCAGCTGATGACTGATGATGCTGCAAGTGCAAGTATACAGAAACCGGCTGTTGTAATCAAGTTTTTTTTTTTTTTCGATGAGTGGGAAGTGAAGGCGAAAATTCCCCGCATAAATTCTTGTATAATCAGCGTGAGGCTTATGTAAGTAGTAGTATATAAAAGGAATAAATACAACAAACCAGAAGAAATTCTTGTAACTCTCAACTTGTATATCTGGAGTTGAAGATGCTTATATATGTAAAAACGAATAAACACAACAAAACCCAGAAG